CGTAGTTTCCTTGACAGATACTTCTCAACACGCATAATCTCAAAGAAAACCATCGGCAAAAAGGATTTATGCTTCCATTTGCAGAGAATAAAGAACATTTACGTGAAGTTTTGGTCATTCCATGACATGGTCTTCAATATCATAGCAGAATCTTTAAAAATTCTGATTTTTCTTGAATATGCGCAAGAATTCAAGTACATTACCTTACTACTATTATCTCAAATTCAGAGCAATGCAGAACTGTCATAATATTCAGAAAAGAGAGCGGAAATGCTATGAATCTTCTGAGAAATAAGTTTTCATCCTTCTTGTTTAGTTTCTATGTCGCCAGCAGAGTCAGGATTGCTCTGCCACCTGATTCATGCCTTTTGTGTTGCTCGTTACTACATGTAACTTTCTTTAACCATCATATAGTATTCCTGCCACAACACTCAAAACTGATCCACAATTTCCCAGTATTATGGACCCTCAATTCTTCGACCGCACCTCCAGATGACACATAACACGATACTCAGGATATTCCCACTAGATGGCAGGACGTCTTTCAGCCGCCTGCCCATCCACACATGATGCCCTTCAGTTCATGCCATTCATAGAGTGTGTTCTAAGGTTTCGATTCTTCTGCATTTTAGCAGTAACCTATTGTTCCATTGATATGACGTTTAGTACCATTCTTCACTTGATTCGTATCAATTCTCTCAAACCATAGAACCAAATGCATTCATGAGGTTTCTTACAAAACGATCTTATCTTCATGATTCAATGATATGCTCGTACCATATTCGGATTTCTTCCTAAAATAAACGAAGCCTCTGTGCAGGATACTATCCTGCCAATTCAAACATGTTTCACAAGCAGACATTAGTAAATACCTCAAAAGAAATATAAATACGCAAAGCGATTACTAGTTCATGATATTTCTCAACCAAAAACGTAAAATAACAAACATCCAACACTTATTATGATGTGATCAGTGAAAAACATACAGTGAAATCAACCTTAAGAAAAGGAAAATTTAACAAATTAGTATATCTTATTCGATATTATAGATATTGGTTACATATACTTCTCCAGTATAGTTCTTCAGACCATTCAGTGATATCCAAGTGGAGCTGGGGATTCCTTCAGTTCATGTCCCTGATAATGAATGTCCTGCAATCATTACAAATAAACCCTAAGCATCTAAATCAAATTGCTTTGAATATCAGACCATATGAAGTTTTATGCACGTACCGATGCAAAATGGTTAACATCACGGTGGTGAGCTTCGTCAGCTCTAACTACCATGACTACATCGCGCAGAGTCGAGTTTGGTGGCATACGCCAATAGTCGATGGCAATAGCCGGCGCAGGAACATTCTCAATAGTGCCCTTGTCCAACTCTTTCAAGAACTCGGTGTACGAGTGGATCGCCTCCTCTTCCAAATACCCCACAATCCGATGCGCCAATTTCGGGGAAACGAGATAGGTCAAGAAGTATGCATTGAAAAATACGCCCTGCACAGTGAATACAAGAGCGCGTTCGTACCATCTGGGCTGGGAAACTTCCATGAATGTCATGAGGTGCATTCTTTCATTTTCGGCTTCTTCTAACAATGCTTTGATCCAACCACCACTGTGCTCGAATCGCCTCAGTGACTTGCAGTGCAGAAGCATCCCTCCAACCATGCCAGGCACAGCGGCCACAGTTTCCAGCATCATAGCACGACATCCATACCGCCTCTGTAACAGGATAAAGTAATTAAATGCGTTGTTTGGTATGCAATATTGCACGAGACACAATAATACAACAAACAAGTATCCACTTTTGCTTGATTAATAGGTTTGACTAATAAAAGTTTAATCCACCAAAGAAACCATAAATGCAATACAACATCTAACCCCCTGTATCTTTCCATCTAATAGAAACAACAACAGCTAAGCATTTTTTCTGATATTTGTTGGCTATGTGCCACACTTTTCGATTTGTTGACATCCAAACTCAACTATTAAACTACATACACTCTCAAAGATTTTAATTTGCCCCTTCTACTTTCTTTTTAACTTTTTGTAACTACATACGTTCAAAATAGAGATTGGTTTCAGTTTTCGCATTAAAAATTAGGTTTTCAATAAATTT